GCGGAGCTATTAGATCTCGATTCAAACTAATCAATTCATTATTGGTACTACGCATAAGTTTCACCAAAGCTTCATATTTATTTTTATCGTGCTTTTCAAAAAAATCCATTCGTTTGAATAGTTTTTCAATATCATCCTGAGTTGCTGAATTTATTTCAGCCTGGCTAATATCAAACTCAATACTGTCACTATCATCGTTAATATTGGCTTCTTCTATCGGAGACTCAAAATTTTGACAAAATATCAAATTGATATTCCAAAATATTAAAATACAATATATTGATTTCATTATTATTTATTGTAATTAAAAATAAACTACTTGTTCACTTAACAAATTCGCATTTAAACTAAATATACATGAACTTTGATAATATATAATTATTCTAATTTAGAATTCGGAATATTGTGATTATTAATATAAGCGCTGGCACGCATTTAGAAAAATGAAAAGAATAAACAATTTTGTATATATATGTATATATATGTATATATATATATATATATATATATATATTAAAATTTTTTATATAATTTTGATGTTGAAATATGTGATATTCAGTTTTCAGACAATACATCAATTAAAAAATTTGTATGACTTTAAAACATTTTTATTTTTTCCATACGTTTCGACACATAGTTTCGTGTCATCTTCAGTGGAATATGTAATTGTAATAATCCTAATTATTTCATAATTATAATTGTTCACAATGCACAATGAAACCAATTCTTGTCACTTTAAATTTAACAATATATAAATTTTTGAATGAGTTATTTTATGAATTTATAAAATACATCCCGCTATTCTGTATTCCGATGCAAGAGTTCACTCACGTATGGAAAAAATAAAAATGTTTTAAAGTCATACAAATTTTTTAATTGATGTATTGCCCTGAAAACTGAATATCATATATATATATATATATATATATATATATATATATATATATATATATATATATATATTTGCCTTAAGGCAAATTGCTAGAACTTTCCGTACCGTAACGAAATGTTCGAGGAATACTGAATGTTTTCAAATAGATTATTATTAACCCTCTGTCGGTCGGCGTGGTCTGGCCAGACTTTTTTCGACTTCAATTAAAAATAAAAAATACTTCTAGTAATCCTATCGATTTGAAATTTCTTGACTTTTTCTAAAATTTCATTAGCTGTCGATCAATGAAAAAATCAGGACGAAAAAATGCACAGAAGGATAATTATAAGGATATTAACTCTTTTATACTTCGAACGGTCGGAAAGGTCTGTCCAGACCACCCATACATTTTGTATGAAATATACGCTTTTTGATATATGTATACCAGTATTTTGTCTTTTTTCATGGTATTTTCTATTCAAACTGCTTTGTTTATATTCTTTGCTATGTGTTCTAACATGAATGTTAGTATTTTCATGACGAGAGTTCATTGAAAACCTACCAAACTTATTGGTAATCGCAAACACTGAAAATCGGATGAGTAATGCACACATTCATTTCAAAGGCGCCGAAAAAGAATAAATATTGTTTTTCATTGATTTAAAAGAGAAAAATTAACAAAAAAAGCAACGATTTTTTTATATTTCTTGATTTTTTATATAATCGTTAATACATAAGACACCAAAAACTCATTTATCCCATATAAATGCATGTAAAATAAATGGTGGTCCAGCCAGACCTTTCCGACCGTTCGAAGGTGAAAAAATATCCGACCGACGGAGGGTTAATATTGTAACATTGCCTAATATTTATAAGAATTATATAAACTGAATTGCAAAGTTGAAATGACTTGTTTAAAGTATATTAGAACATAATTAAAATTAAAATCTGAATTATTTTCGGTATATAAAAAAAATCTTGAAAAAAAAATTAGAAACAACATTTTTTTTTCAAAAGCAATTATTTTGTTGAAGCAGAAAGTTCTTTGAATAATTCGAATCTGACGCTTCACTCAAAAACTGCCATTTTTTGCACATTTAGTTCGTATCTTCGAAATGGCGGGACCTGTCTTTGCAAAAAACTAATCACCTTTTCTCATAATCATTACAAAATAAATGTTTTTTAGATCATTCAAATCGGATACTCCGTTCTCTCAAAAACTCCATTTGTATTTTCTGCACTCTTTGCTCTGTATCTTCGAAACAGCTAGATCTGCCTTTGCCAAAAACTAATCATCACATCTCCCTATCAATAGGAATCGAATGTTTTTTGAACCATTCAAATCGGTTGAACGACAAAATGCGGGCATACAAAACACACACATACACACACATGCATCGATTTTTTCTGAGGTATGGCAAAATGTTCAGAAACCTTCAAAACGTCGATAAATGCAAACATTTTCATTTTAGATTTTCGGCCCATTACTATAACTACCCTACGGGAAGTTAAAAAATATTTTTTTTGTTACAGTATCTAAAAAATATTTAACAAAGTTTAAAAAAATAATGAATTTAATCTATCTCCATTTGTTTTGAATTTATTGAAAATATAATTGGTTTCTAATTCACTTCCGAGCTATGGTTTCTTCGGCAAAGTTTTTTGTCTAATGATCATTTTAGACCGCCAAATATAATTTTTTTTAACTTTTCATTCTGTATCTCCGAAACCGCTAGACCTGCCTTACCAAAAATTTTATTAATTCTTTATTTAGTCAATACAAGTAAAATATGAATCATTCAAATCGGGTACTCCGTTCTCTCGAAAACTGAATTACCGTTTTTGGCATTTTTTGCCCCATATCTCCGAAACAGCTGAACCTATCTTCACCAAAAACTAATCAGCACGTCTTCATCTTCATATCTCGTCTGCACATACATACACACATACATCAATTTTTCCTGAGGAATGCCAAAATGTTTAGAAATCTCTAAAACGTAAGGATATAAAATTTTTTTAATTTTTTCCTTCTACGGGAAGTTAAAAATTTAAAAAATGTGAATGGGAAAGCGATAAATGTTACTACTAGTGCTCTATTTATGTTACAGAAGACGTAAACACTTTTATGTTTTTGGCAATACATGATAATAATGTATACAACCCATTATCTTGAGGTCATGACAAAATGTGATGACATCGAATTTGATAGGATGGAGAATTTTAAATATAGCTGAATAACTTAATATAAATAATAACTTAACATTTGATGATTTGATTTTGTTTCTAACTAGCTGACTCGGCAAACGTTGTTTTGCTAAATAAGGTATATTCTAAACCATTTCTAGAGAATCAAAAATATTAATACTTTAAGTGTATAAGGATGTGTTGTTTGAATGCTGTATACAATTAGGTATTATAAAAACAATAAACCCCATTAGTTTGTCTATATTTTGTCAATACAATCAAACTGGAAGTTTTATACACTTTCTATAGAAAACATCGTATAATCCAATCCGAGTCTGTTTTGGTCTTTCGGCTTATTAATTACGTTTCAAGTTTTTTAGATTCTTTTTGGATTCTGGATTTTGTGTATAATTGTAAATAATACTACTGAGCTTCAAAGGTCCAATTTGACTTTGAGCAAATATAAACTATATTGTAAAAACCATAACAATTATATCACAACAAATAAGACATATCAAACGAACAATTATCTGACTACGTTCAGTAAACTGACTTCTACTTAATCATTGTAGAAATGTGCTTTTTTGATGTCTTCCAAAAATTTGTTATCTAGACCTTTTTATCCTATATGCGGGGTAACTTGTAACGTGCAGGTGGTAAAAGGTTTAAAGCCTTATTATAATTTTAAAGGTATTTTACAAAATAATTACATTTTTAACTAATGCTAAAACTACCAACGGAAGAAAATACTTTTATTATGGATTTTCAAAGATTACCGTTTATCTCCCCCATTTCAAAGATTATCGTTTTCAAATCAAGTCTGTAGCTGGCATCTTTACATCTTTTTCCCTCTACTTTCAAATATTCTTGTTAAACAATGCTTAACTTTACTGATTTTTGGCACATCGGTGGTGGACCTTTTTAATCCCGGACCTTCATATATTACTACCTAAAAATAAATTAAAAATAAATAAAATTCTGGGAAATTATAACTGGAAAAATGTTATTCGACAAAATGTCCATTTGATCGATACCAAATTTAGGTTCTGAATTTAAATAACATAAATAAAAAATAATATAACCTAGAAAATGTTTTATAAATACCAATGAGTATATAATTATACAAATGAGATCATTCAGAGCACCGTGTTTGAGAAAAATATGCCAAAAAGTGCATTTTCATATTAACATATCAAAAAAGTTGATATTTTGAGTAAGTAGTAACACTTGCGGCCCGTTTACTAACGTTTTTGTATATAAATAAAACTACAAACAAAACTACTTACTACAAATTTATCACAAATAAATAATATTCGCGTAAAACATCCTATTAAACGTAATTGAACATCATCTGTCAAAAGCGTTTGACATTTCACGAAATTGCCACCGTCCATTGTTCTATTTAAATTACGCTTCTACAAAAATTTTCAAATTATAAATGTAAAGTTTCTACGCGGATTTGAAATAATTTCTCACATTTTGGACATTCTCTGGATTGGCACGAATTTTTCAAGACTAAGACTGGCCAAATCGATTCAGCCGTTTTCGAGTTTTATTCGGACATTTGAAAAAGAGCTTCATTTTTATATATAAGATATAAATTTTATAATCCAATATAAAAGACACACACATTTTTGGGATCAGTACCTGTTACGAGCGAGCAAGACAACAATACAAAGTAAAGACCGATTGTGAAGGATAGATAAGAATAAAAAATCTCTGACGTCACATTTACCAGATGTAAGGGATTTAGATAACAATATATTTATGCCTAAATACTATTTTTTTCATCCTGAAATGGCTCGAGGATTACCGAAAGGACCCGAAAAACGACCTAAAAGTGTATATAAACCGAGTGAACTTGGAAATACTTGTCATAAGTATTTAGTCGTCTCTTAAGAACATAAGTCAATTACCACATAAGTCAATTATCATGCCAATTATAATGACAGAAGATATGTTGGGGAAATTGATTGGGTCAGTAATGGCTCAAGCAAACACTGAACCAACCCCTAAAAGTTTTTCTACGTGTTCGAAAAAATTTGATGGTTCAAGAGACCCGGAGGCACTCAAAGCATTTATATCACACATATTGTTGTACAAGTCCATGGCAAATATTTCGGATCAAAAAGCACTACAAGAACTTCCTTTACTCCTTCAGGATGCAGCAGCCACTTGGTGGGCTGGTATAAAATCCGGAGTGCAAAGTTTTGATGAGGCAATTCGTTTGATGAAATTATTTTTTGGTACAAGAAGACCTGCACCCGAAGTGTATCTAGAATTTTTTAACGACTACCAGAATGAAAATACAAGTACGGACTGGTTTGTTGTGCGAAAAAAAATCTTGCTGGCTGAACTTCCTTATGAGGTACCTCTGACCATGCAAATCGACATGGTGTACGGTTTGCTTCATAAACAAATCCGTGATGTAATTCCTCGAGCAGATGTAAACTCATTTGAAGATTTAGTGAAAAAATCTAAAGACGTAGAACTTAGCATACTTAGGTCTAAAGAACAGCTTTTGGATGCACCTGAACCCGAACCAGAATGCACTTTTTGCAACAAAAAGCGACACACTGCTGCAGAATGCAGAAGTCGTTTGAAGTGGTTGGCGAAGAAAAACTCTAAAATCAACCAGCAAGAATCTAAGAAATCTTCTTCCTCGGAGAACCAGAATTCGACGACTCAGAAAACTCAAACTTTTTGTTTCTATTGCGAAGAGTTTCACTCGACCGACTTTTGCTTAGTAAATTTTGTCAGGACAGCCGAAGTGATTCCGTGGGTGGAACCACAGACATCATCAGAAGCCAAAAAGGAACCAAAGAAGAAAACTAAGTAGGAGACCAATTTTAATAGATTTATTATTATTATTATCATTATTACCATTGTTATCATTATAAATAAAGAAAAGTTCCAAAATTCTTAAATAATGTTTGACTTAATAATTTACTTTTTGCATGGAAATTTTTGTTCAGGACATTTTTTTTCAGGTAAGTTGGAAGAAACTAGATAAAATTTACAATAATTCCATAAAATCTGTCTTAAACATTTCAATACAAAAAAATTAAATAAATTAGGTTTTAACTCGTCCAACTTCCACTTTATATATTGTTTAAGTTTGTAATAGAATATGCAGGACATTTTTCTACATTTCTTTGAATTGTATTTGGTACTCTATTTTTATTAGCTTAACAGAAATTAGATAAAATTTACTATAAATCCGTGTAAACAGTTATATACACTCCGATATAAAATTGTTGAATAAAATGACTTTGAAATCGATTTTTTGATAAATGCAATAGAAAATTCTGGAGGACATTTTTTACATTTTTTTGAATAACTCGAAAACTTTGTACTAAGCACTCTTTTAATTTCTTTAGCAAAAACTAGATAAAATTTACTTTATATCTCTATAATTTATCACAAACACTTCTATACGAAAAATTCAAATAAATTAGTTTTGAACTCGCTACAATATGTCCAAGTTTGCAATTTGCAATATACGTAATATAAACATAGGGTTGCACGCAATTTAATTAAAAAATATTTATAAACATATTATAAATCATATTTTATTATTTGACATCATTTGTATATTGTTTTCCTAATAATTACAGTTAGGGGCTAGTTTTTGCCTAAGAGAGCACGCAACCTGGATCGACCCTTTGTTTTAGGTTAACGTGCGCACGGGAAATCTTGGGAAAATTTTCACTTCTGTTTTTACTCTTAGCTATAATTTTTTTTTAAAATTAAATTATCTAAATATCATTTTATGATGTATTGTTTATTATGTAATTTAAAAAATATGCAAAAATTGAATAGTTAACATTTTAGAAGGGTATTTATAAAGACGTGAACATTTATTTTTGATCTTGTATTTTATAATTATTCATAACATTTATTTAATTAATCAATTTTATATATAATGACAAATTTGTTGCAGTAATTAGGGAATGTCTGGTATTGATAAATTGTAATTTTATCTAACATGATATATATTTTTGTTTATGTAAATCAAAGATTTTTTTTGCAAATCATTTTTTTGAATAACTCGAAAACTTTGTACCGGGCACTCTTTTCTAGTTAGCTTAGCAGAAACTAGAAAAAATTTACTACAAATCCCTGTAACCAGTTCAATACACCCATATAAAAGTTTTTATATGAATGAATATAAAAAAATCAAAAATTAAATATAAATTTAAAAAAATAATAGAAAAATAGTAGAATTTTTTAACATTTCTTTATTAATCATAATAATAATCAAATATTACAATATAAAGGTAATGATAACAAGAAATCGATTAAAATTGTATTTCTTTATAAAACTGCATAATCGGCGAGCCAACAAGGGTGTCCTTCATAGTTTTCTCATTGGTTCCAAGTGGTTCCTCTTTAATAATAATAGTTTTCTCTTTAATTCCAACTGGTGATGGTTTTTGTTCCTGGATTGATTTCCTGGTCAAACACTCCATAAACGTATGATTTTTCCCTTTGCACAAAAAGCAAAAAACTTCAGATTTTTGAGTTTGGTGCTCCGGAGTGCTTTGGACAACTAAATCAGAAGACAAAAAGTTTATGGTTTCTTGAGGGTTCGTAAAATTTTTCTTTGCCAACCATGTTAAACGCTTTTTGCATTCTTCTTTAATGTGTCCCCTTCTTTTGCAATAATTACATTTTGTAATTGATGAGTCTCCAGGGGTAATTGAAAACTTGTGCTTAGGTAAAAAATTATTGGTTTCTGGTGCATCTAAGTCTGCAGCTTTGTGCAACAAATCTTCAAACGTGGTTATACTTTCACGTGGAATTTTCATGCGGATTTTATTTTTAAGCAAACCGTACACCATGTCGATTTGTGTGCTCTCAGGGAACTCATAAGGAAGTTCAGCCAACAAAGTTCTTTTCCTACTAACAAACTGGTGTGTGGTCGTGTTCTCATCCTGATGGTCCTTGAAAAATTCTAAATACACACTATAAGCTGGTTTTCTCTGGGTGTAGTACACTTTTATCAAACTAAGAGCCTCATCAAAACTTTCTACTTTAGCTTTATACCATCCCACCAAGTGGCTGCGGAATCCTGAAGGAGTAAAGGTAATTCTTGTAATGCGGTTTGGTCTGAAATATTTGCAACTTGCTTGTACAAAGATAAGGTTGTAGTAAATTCTTGGACTTTTTTGGTGTCTTTAGAACCATCGAATCTTGCTGTACATTTGGAGAAACTTCCTGGTTCTTTGCGTTTGCATGCTTGTGCACTTATTACACCAATCAAAGTTTGCAGCTCCTCTTCTGACATAGTAGTAGACATGGTAATAGACTTACTTTAATTAATACAATATAACAAAAAAACTTATTTGGTTAATTCTTTTAAGCTTTTGGTAGTTACCTCAGAGACAACTATATACTTATGACAGTAAATCTAAATTTAACTCGGTTTATATACGCGATCCTAAGAAATTCCAAGTCAGGTACTTCGATGATCCTCTATCTCAGTTATTATGTTTTCTGTTTGCAAAATATCACCACTAAATAATAAATTTATACAAACATCTTGTTGTTTCCTTTCTTGGCAAAACAGGTATATTTAGGGTCAATTTTTGCATAAGGGTCGTAACTGTTTGCGTACCCAGATGTTTTATAATATTGAAAGATTATGTTAACTTCCCGTAGGGTAAGTTATTGTAATCGTCTAAAAATCGAAAATATTTTTTTTGTATATATTTACGTTTCAAAGGTTTCTGAATTAGTACGCTGCATAGTTCATTTATGTTATTATTTTTGTATTACTGTTTTTAATTTATTTTTAACTTTTTTCATTTTATATACAATTTATTGTATTTTTTTTGTATTTTTTCTTTTCTGCACATATCAATTTTGTAAATAAGACATTAAAGTCTTGATTAACAAAAATAAATTATAACAAAAAAAAGGTTTCTGAACGTTTTGGCATATTTTAAAACAAGTTGAAATGTGTGGTTGCGTGTGTGTAGGTGTGTGTGCGTAATAATGGATACTATTTTTAGTTTGTTTAAAAGTTGAAAGCTCGAGGTTGTTTTTAAATAAAAAATAATTATAAATAAAGACTAAAAAAAATACATTAATTGACATACATTTATAAAACGTTGAAAAAATGTAAACTGTTAGTTTATTTTATTTCATGAAATTTGTTATTTAGAAATAATAGTTCCAAATGTGTATATTTGGTCAGTGTTATTTAAATTCTGTTGCTTCTTATTTACTTTTAAAGTATTTGTACATGAAATGCAATATTTATTGATTTATTATAATCATTATTTATATTGCTTTTATTATTATTATTATTATTATTATTATTATTATTATAAGTAAAAAAATACAAAAATAGCGAAAAGTTATTCATTTAAATAGTTTAATAATTCAAATTTAAATTTAAATAATCTATTATTATTTTTATAGCAATATTGTTAATAAAATTCCAAGGGCGTAGAAAAATGTAGTTTATTTAAATTAATCTAATAATTGTTAGAAAATATTTATTAAAAATTATTAATGTTATTTATTTAAATCATGAGTAATACATTAATACGTTAATAAATTCCAAGGGGGTTTAAAAACGACATTTTCTGCATTTCTTTGAATAACTCAAAAACTTTGTACCGTGCACGCTATTTTTATTTATGTAGCAGAAACTAGATAAAATTTATTACGAATTTGTGTAAACAGTTCTATACACTCCGATATAAAAGTTTTGAATAAAATGACATTGAATTCGATTTTTTGATAAACGCAATAAACAAATTCTGGGGGACATTTTTCTAATTTTTTTTGAATAACTCAAAAACTTTGTACCAGCCACTCTTTTCTAGTTAACTTAGCCGAAACTAGATAAAATTTACTTTTATATCCCTTTAATCTATTACAAACACTCCAATACAAAAAATTTAAATAAATTAGGTTTGAACTCGCTACAATATGTCCACGTTTGCAATTTGCAATATACGTAATATAAACATAGAATTGTACTCAATTTAATTAAAAAATATTTATAATAGTATTATAAGTCATATTTTATTATTTGACTTCATATTGCATGTAGTTTTCCTAATAAATACAGCTAGGGGCTGGTTTTTGCCTAAAAGTGCACGCAACCTGGATCGACGCGTTGTTTTAGGTTAACGCGCACACGAGAAATCTTGGGAAAACTTTTACTTCGGTTTTTACTCTTAGGTATAATTTTTTTTATAAATTAAATTATCTAAATATCAGTTTATGATGTATTATTTATTATGTGACTTAAAATATATGCAAAAATTGAATATTTAAAATTTTAGGACATTTTTCTACATTTCTTTGAATAACTCGAAAACTTTGTACCGGGCACTCTATTATTAATAGGTTAGTAGAAACCAGATAAAATATACTACGAATTCGTTTAAACAGTTATATACACTCCTAAACAAAAGTTTCGAATAAAATGACTATGAAATCTATTTTTTGATGAATGCAATAGAAAATTTGGGACATTTTTTTGGTTTTTGGCAAATAACTCACAAATGGTATATGAAATCATCCCTTTGCAGTTATGTAGGCTAAAACTAGATATTCGATTGTATATTATACGTAATATTAGATTGTGCAGACGCAAAATCTTGGGAAAACTTTTACTTCTGTTTTTACTCTTAGGTATGAAAATTTTTATAAATTACATTATCTAAATATCAGTTTATGGTGTATTAGTAATTATGTAATTTAGAAAAATGCAAAAATTGAATATTTAACATTTTATAAGGATATTTATAAAGACGTACACATTTTTCTACATTTCTTTGAATAACTCAAAACCTTTGTACCGGGCACTCTTTTCTAGTTAGCTTAGCAGAAACTAGATATAGTTTACTACAAATCCGTGTAAACAGTTATATACAATCCGATATTAAAGTTTTGAATAAAATGACTTTGAAATCGAGTTTTTGATAAATGCAACAGAAAATTCTGGGGATATTTTTCTACATTTCTTTGAATAACTTGAAAACTTTGTACCTTTGTATGGGGCACTCTATTTTTATTAGCACAGCAAAAACTAGATAAAATTTACTAAAAATACGTGTAAACAGTTATATACACTCCGATATAAAATTGTTGAATAAAATGACTTTAAAATCAATTTTTTGATAAATGCAATTGAAAATGGATTCAAATTTGACAGTCGGTACGTTGACAGTTGTTTTGACAGTTGAATGCAAATGGCGAATTTATTTATTTTTAAAATAAAAAATATAAATAAATATTGCAAATTTTTTCTATAACAATATTAAAGTGTTGTTGTCAGTTTTATCTATTTTATTAGACGTGTAATTTAATATAATAAGAGTTTCAAAAGTGTATTTTTTCCCAATGTTTGATTGTTCATCATGATGTGATTTTTCCCCCAAAAAACAAATGGCAATCATTTACCCCGATGACTTTTGATTAAAATTAAATGTTCCTTTTCCAAATTCTCTGTCATGAGGCAAATAACGATGGTTGTTTTTGAAAAAGGCCCGCCTCGGATATATGTATCCATTACATCACCACACCGCCAAGAAACGTAAGCGAAAAAGTTAACCTCAAAAAATAATGGTAATAAAATGACAACTCTCTTGATAATCGCGTCGCAAAAAAACATTTATCCTTTCAAACTGATCACAAAAACACCTAAATCAACCAGCATTGTGAATAAAGTGTAAGAACCGACACAAGACTATTAATACAATGACCAGTGTCAATCTGACAAGAAGATGTGTCCTGTTTGGATGGAAGCATTTTGCCAAAACAAGAACCAACAGCCTCATATACTCTTCCCAGAGACAACTGATAACACCTGTGCCCCAGATCTCTGTGTTGTCTTCAAGTTTTATCAAAAGTAGATTCTATTCGACACAGAAAAATGAACAGAGTGCTTTGAAACCAGACGAGGATGATTCTACGGATAAAGACAAGGATAAGGAAGCTGTTAAGAAGGAGGAGGATGTTAAGAAAATGGGTTTGTTTAAGAAGTTTAAACAAATGTACAGGGATTACTGGTATGTGCTGATACCGGTGCATGTTGCTACTTCTACGTGCTGGGCTGGTCTATTTTACTACGTCGCAAAGAGGTAGTAAAAGAGTAAAAGACATAATAAATACATACATATAAATATATATATATATATATATATATATATATATATATATATTATATATATATATATATGTATATGTATCTTTTTTTCTAGTGGTGTGGATGTGATAGCAATCCTGGAATCGATCAAAGTCAGTCCTGCACTCATCGACAACGTCAGAGATTCCAACATGGGTTACATTGCATTAACATATGCACTTTATAAAATTGCAACACCTGCAAGATATGCTGTAACGTTAGGTATATAAAAACAAATTGTTTTACATATATATGTATATATTTATATACATATGTCTTTTATCTAGCGGGGACAACGATATCAATAAATTACCTAAAACGCTGGGGCTACCTCAGACCGGTTCCGTCAAGGGAAAAATTAAAGGACATGTACAAAGAGCGTAAAGAAGCCCTCCAAGAAAAATACCAAGAACGCAAAGAGGGCATCCAAGAAATCTATCAAACGAAACGAGAAGAGTTGAAGAGCAAAAAACGCAATTTATGGGAAGATATTGTTAAAAGAAATCAACACGATAAATGACATAAGGAGGATGAGGAAAAGAAGAGCCATAAAATTAAAAAATGATTTTGAGAAATTTGTATTTCTTTATATTAGTGTGTAGTGCTTGTTTGGAATTTTGTAGGTAGGTATTATTCTGTATAAATAAGAAATTGTTTAGTTTTATTTTGTTATTATAATATAGTCTTGTATATATATATTCATGTGTGCATAATTATATATTTGTAGATATGTTGAGATACATTTTGTTTGAAAAAGCGCTTTGGATAATTTAATATATATAAATAGATTTTTTTATTAACTGTAATATACCCTCTTTTTATTAAATGTATATATTGATATATATATATATATATATATATATATATATATATCAGAGAATTTAAAAGTAATAACTAGTGGGGTGGGTGGCATCGTGCCTTAAGGCAAATTGCTGGAACTTCCCGTACCGTAATGAAATGTTTGAGGATTACTGAATGTTTTCAAATAGATTATTATAAATATTGTAACATTGTCTAATATTTATAAATATTATATAAACTGAATTGCAGAGTTGAAATTATTTGTAAAGTATATTAGAACTATAGTCAGAATTAAAAATAAATATTTTCGATATTTCAAAAAAAAAAAAAAAAAAGGGACAATTTTTTTTTTCCAAAATCGATTATTTTGTTAAGACAAGCAGAAAGTTCTTTGAATCATTTAAATCGGACGCTTAGTTCTCTCAAAAACTGCCATTTTTTACATATTTAGCTCCGTATCTTCAAAATGGCTGGGCCTGCCTTTGCCAAAAACTAATAAACACTTCTCCCAATCATTACTAATTGAATGTTTTTTAGATCATTCAAATCGGATACTCCGTTCTCTCAAAAAGTCGATTTCTATTTTCTGCACTCTTTGCTCCGTATCTCCGAAACGGCTGGACCTGCCTTTGCCAAAAACTAATCAGCTCTTTTCCCTATCAATAGGAATCGAATGTTCTTTGAACCATTCAAATCGGTTGATGCGTGCGCCCGAAAAGGTGACTGGAAATTTGTACATACACACACACACATTCATTTTTTCTGAGGTATGCCTTAAAATGTTCAGAAACCTTCAAAACGTCGAGAAATGTAAAAATTTTCAATTCCGATTTTCGGCCCATTACTATAACTTACCCCACGGGAAGTTAAAAAAAAAACAAAAGTTTTTTTTACAAAACTATTTTTTTATTTATTTACTGTCGACGTTTCGGAACTAGGTACGTTCCATCTTCAGGTCATCTGTGAAGAAACTTGATCTTGATAAGATTTAAACAAACAATATATTTAGGAAAAGCAGAAAATTGTGGATTTTTTGTAAAATTCGAAAAAAAATGAGGGAAGAAATAACATTACAGAAATAAATAAGAAAAAAAATTCTGTAATGTTATTTCTTTCACAATTTTATTCATTTTATATAAAAAATCTACAATTTTCTACTTTTTCTAAATATATTGTTTTCATGTTTCTTGACAGATGTCCTGAAGATGGAATGTACCTAGTTCCAAAACGTCGACAGTAAATAAATAAAGAAATGATTTTTTTTAAAAAAAACTTGTTTTTTTATAACTTTTAGATTCTTTGTTCGAAGCTCTACAAAATATTCACAAATCCAAGACTGTACTATCTAATATATATATTTCCATACAAGATAAAACCCTACAGCAACTCGGTATACTTTAAAATAGTTTTAAAATGAAGAATATACTCGGGTGAAAAATTCTGCATTTTTTTAACACTTTTAAATAAATTGCATAACTTTTAAACAAAGTCATTAATAAAAATGAAACCTCAGACAAATTTGTTTGAAATTAAATAATCTACAAATTTTCATACAAGATAAAACCCTACAGCAACTCGGTATACTTTAAAATCCTTTTAAAATGAAGAATATACTCGGGTGAGAAATTTTGCATTTCTGCAATACTTTTAAATAAATTCCATAACTTATAAACGAAGTGATTAATAAAAATTAGATAAATTTACATAAACATTAGATAAATTTGTTAAAAAATTAAATAATCTACAACTCACCCATATGACATAAATCCATACAGCAACTCGGTATACTTTAAAATCGTCTTGAAACTAAAATATAATGGACGCCTCTTTAAAATTGACTTGATACTTGGTGCACTCACTTACTAAATTATTTATAACTTTTAAACTATTTGTTCAATTTAAACAAAATATTTGGTAAACTTTTTCAAAATTAAATTATCTACAATATTGACTAATACCAAAATGACATATAACAACTCGGTATACTTTAAAAATGTCTTGAAATGAAACTAATATTTTTCGCCATTATAAAACACTGTTTATGGACACTAACTATAAGTGCACTCCCTCACTAAATCTTTCATAACTTACTAAATATTTGTCCGATCTAAACAAAATATTTGGCAAACTTTTTCAAAATTAAATTATCAACAATATTGTCTAATAACACAAGACCCTACAACAACTCGGTATACTCTAAAAATGTCTCGAAACACAAAATATTTTGGAACTCGCGTTGTCATGCAACGTCAACACAAACACAAATTATTAACCACAAACTAAACTAAATTAAATATTTCCTAAATTAATCATCAAAATTTAAGTCTGCAGTTTATATTAACTATTAAACATGCAAAATTCACTATTAAACAATTATTAATTAATTATTATAATTATTAAAAAGTCATACCATTCCGGTTATCATAACATGTATCTTGTATTCATCCACAAATACAAACAAACAATAAATATTCTCACTATTTAATTAAATACACAACTAGTTTTATCAATAAATCAAATTAACTTTTAAACCCACTTTTGAACCAAATTGTACTAAAAATTTCATTTTGCACTGTCGCGTGAATAATAAACATAACCTAAAAATTTTATACAGAGAGAGATAGATATATAGGATATATAGATAGCTAGACAGAGAGTGAAAGAGAGGAAAGATCACTAACTTAATATTTACAAAAAATGTTACTAAATACCATCACATTAATAATATTATATCGATATTTGTAAATTTCATAGTTTTTATTATATATTTATATATATAGTTGGTTAGGGTTAATTATTTTGTTGCAACGCGGGAATGTTAAGGTTATGATTATGGCAGTTTACGAATAATATTAGGTTGTCAAATATCTCCCTTCCGCTTTTTTGCTCTTGGTTTATAATACAAAAAGGCGGAAGGGAGATATTTGACAACCTATTAAATTTTGTTTCGAGTAAGAATTATTTAGTACTATCGATATCATTTCATTCATCATGTTAAAAATTAAAATCTTCGCTTGTTACTAGTTGTAACAAATAGTATTAATTATTTTTTTAACCCTCCGTCGGTCGGCGTGGTCTGGCCAGACTTTTTTCGACTTCAATTAAAAAAAAAAATACTTCTAGTAATCCTGTCGACTTGAAATTTCTTGACTTTTCCTAAAATTTAATTAGCTGTCGATCAATGAAAAAATCAGGACAAAAAAATGTACAGAAGGATAATTATAAGGATATTAACTTTTTTATACTTCGAACGGTCGGAAAGGTCTGTCTAGACCACCCATACATTTTGTATGAAATATACGCTTTTTGATATATGTAAACCAGTATTTTGTCTTTTTTCATGGTATTTTCTATTCAAACTGCGTTGTATATATTCTTTGCTATGTGTTGTAATATGAATGTTAGTATTTTCATGACGAGAGTTCTTTGAAAACCTACCAAACTTATTGGTAATCGCAAACACTGAAAATCGGATGAGTAGTGCACACATTATCAACAATTTTTCTACCCGTACTGCGTTCGAAATTTTTTTGGCAAACCTGTAGTGAAATTATATTTTCACTTTGAGTTTTACAGCTTATTTCAAAGGCGACGCACCTCATTTCGTTTTCATTTGAATTTCACATTCATTTCAAAGGCGCCGAAAAAGAATAAATATTGTTTTTCATTGATATAAAACAGAAAAATTAACAAAAAAAGCAACGATTTTTTTATATTTCTTGATTCTTTTTATATAATATAATATGTAATATTTTTATTATAAGCAAGCTCAGCACATGAAAAAGACGGTAAGAAATAGAAAAAAACAAAACTATAAATATTTACTACTAATAATCGTTAATATATACGACACCAAAAACTCATTTATCCCATATAAATGCATGTAAAATGAATGGTGGTCCAGCCAGACCTTTCCGACCGTTCGAAGGTGAAAAAATATCCGACCGACGGAGGGTTAAAGCAGCTTTAATTTTATATCAGTTACTACTACAAATATCCCTGGGTAAATTTATCTCCCTTATCCCATATACTGGCAGCTGGCAGGAACCAGCAAGTCCTGCTCCGATGTGGAGGACATCGAAGTGGCACTTCGATTAGCACTTCCACCTCTACGCAAATGGCATGCTCTGCACATCAAGGAGCCCCCTAATGGGTAGCAACGTTTGTCGGGCTCGTCTGTTAATTGCATTCCACAGTCTTCGCATGCATAACAGTCCACATGGAAGTCTCTGTCCATGGAAACAACTCGGACTGTTTCTTCTGTGCCTTCTACTGGAGTAATACCTGGAGATAAAAATCAGAAGATGAAGATTTGGGAAGTTTATGTGACTTTCCTTAAGGCCAGATTGCCTGGAATTTTTATTACCTTTGCCGCAACTGGCACACTTTGGTGCAAACATCCTGTGATAATCGTTGACACAATATATTCGATTGTCAACATCAACAGTAAAGGGAACACCATCCAGGCATTCGTTGCAGATGCAACATCGGAAACAACCAGGATGGTAGGATTTGCCCATAGCTTGCAAAATCTATCATCAAAAAAAAAAAGTATATATAATATTTAAAAAACAAATTGGTTTGGTATCATTTACCATTTCCATGATGAGATGTCCACATATGGCACACTTTTCTGCAGTTTGTTGAAAACCAGAATACTGAAACACAAACAATTTATTTATTTTTATTAACTTCCCGTAGGGTAAGTTATAGTAATCGCAAAAAATCGAAAATGATCATTTTTATATATCTTTACGTTTCAAAAGTTTCTGAACATATACAAAAAATGGATGTGTGTGCGGATACAAATTTTCGTCGACGATTTCGGGAACACTAATTTAAATATATCAAAAAGCATGATTAGTTTTGTTTAGTTTTTGGCAAAGGCAGGTCTAGCCGTTTCGGAGATATGGAGCAAATAAAGTGCCACAATGGTATTTCATTTTTATTTATATGGGTTCCGTACCAATGTTCACATTTAAAATTGCTTAAACAAATGTTCACAATTTTCAAAAATAATCAAGATACAAAAAAAAACAAAATATAAAAAAATTAAATTTTTCAGTCAATTTTCTTCAAATTTATTTTTTTTTTTCAAAAGAGTCAATTTGTTTCAAAAATGTCAATTTTTTACAAAAATTGTCAAATTTTTCCCAAAATTTCTCAAAACTCTAGTTTTTTCAAAGTTTTGCAGTTTTTTTTTAAAAAAATATATTTTCGGTACAGGAAATTCCAGCAATTTGCCTTAAGGCACGATGTCATGCACCAATACTTTATTTGACAAAAATGTCCTTTTTTTTTTAAATGTTAAAATTTCTCAAAAATCTTTTTTCAAAGTTTTGCATTTTTTTTAAATGTAGTTTTGCCCCGCATATTTTTGTCATTTTTTTTAAAAAATTGACAATTTATTTTCAAAAATGTCAGTTTTTTTCAAAAATGATAAAATTTCTCAAAAATCAATTTTTTTCAAAATTTTGCAGTTTTTTTTTTAATTTAGTTTTCGGTACGGGAAGTTACAGCAATTTGTCTTAAGACACAATGCCATGCACCTCTAGTTTATTTGATTTGATTTGCATTTTTTTTAAAAATGTAGTTTTCGGTAAAGTTGTAGCAATTTGCCTTAAGAAAAGTTGCTATGACCCGTATATTTTTCAAAAATGTTACTTTTTTCAAAAATTGTAATTTTTTTTAAAAAATGTCAATTTTTTTCAAAAATGTCAATTTTTTTCAAAAATGTCAATTTTTTTCAAAAATGTCAAATTTTTTCAAATATATCAAAATTTCTCAAAAATGTAATTTGTTCAAAGTTTTACAGTTTTTCTTTAAATTTAGTTTTCGGTACGGTAAGTTCCAGCAATTTGCCCTAAGGCGCGATGCTATACACCACTAGTTTATTTATTATTAATCAAAATATTTCATTTTTAAATATGTCATTTATTACCAGGTAATCCTCTTCACAGTAAACTTTTCCATGAACGTTATAAAAGGCTTTGCCCCTAAGGGCTCGTCCACATGAGCAGCACACGAAACAATTCGTATGGTACAAGTTGCCCATGGCCTGACAGGCTTGCCCAGCACCTGTTACCTTGTCACCACAAGTGTGACAAATACCTGAAAAAGAATAGAAACATATGACTAATGGGATGTTTAGTTTTTGGGAAAGGCAGGTTCAGCAGTTTTGAAGACACGATCAAAAATTGAAAGCATCCGATCAGAATGATTCAAAAATCATTTGTAAGTATTTATTAAGATTTTATTTGTAAGAAGAGTTGATTTCAATTTTTGAAAAGCAGGTCCAGCGGTTTCGGAGCTCCAGAGATAAACGTTGACAATATTGTTATATTTTGGTCACAAATGATCATTATTTTTGATTCATTACAAATAAAATTAAACTAAATCAGTAACAAAAGGGACTCTACTGACGAGCAAACTGAATTAGACAAAAAAATAAAGAGACAAAAAATGCAAATCAAGAATAAAAAGGACTCTACTGACACGCAAATTAAATTTGAAGCAAGAGAAAAATTAGAGGAACTGAAAGGAACTCTACTGGCGACCAAACTAAATTGTGAACTAAAACAACAGAAAAAGGTCTATGGAGCAAAAAGGGCTCTACTGACACGCAAATTTTGAATTTGAAGCAAGAAAAAATTAATCTAATTCACAACTTGAGGAACTTAAAGGACGACCAAACTAAATTTGAACGTGAAAAATAAGAATTAAAAAAACAAATTAATAAATCAAGGACAAAAGGGACTCTACTAACGAGCAAACTGAAGTAGTGCAAAAAACAAGAAGCAAGAAACCAAAAAAAGAGCAATAAGGGACTCTACTGACAAAGAAACTAACTTGGACATGAAAAACGAAAAAAAACAAATAGATAACGAGATAAGAACTCTACTGACGAGCAAAATAAATTGTGCGTTGATAAGAAACTAAGAAAAAGTGAAACGAGCAAACTACATTTTAAAAACAAAAATAAAGCAAGACAAAAAATCTGAATCATCAGGTGACGAGAAAAAGGGAGTCTACTGACGATTAAAAATAACTATAATTCTAAATGAAGAACAAAAGGAACTCTACTGACAAGTAAAATGCATTTGGACATGAAAAACAAAATTGAAAAATTTTGTCTTAAGAGACAAAAATCTAAATCATCAGGTGAGGACAAAAAGGGCTCTACTGACGAGCAAAAATAACCAAATCGCCGAATGAAAAACAAAAGGGACTCTACTGACGAGCAAAATTAATTTAGACTTGGGGACCTAAAAAGGAACTCTACTGACGAGCAAAATATAATTTAGACTTAGAAAATAAAAGGGACTTTACTGACGAGCAAAAATAATTAAAATGCTAAATGAAAA